TTTCGAAAAATGATGACAATATATATTTTTAAATTGTCGAGATTTTTTTTAACTACTTAAGGAGTGTCCTGAGGTGATGATATAATAACTCATGTTTTTCAAACGAGAACCACCCTTTTTTACAATAAATTATTTAGTGGATAATATTTGTGAACATTTTGACGTATCAGCATCAAAATTTGTTGTACGTTATTCCTTTTGAGTTTTGTAAATTACCAAGAATAATATATAGGTTTGTGGCAATATGGTGATTTGAAAATGTTGGTGATTAATTAATCCATCAATATTAATAATTATCGTTCGAATTTTGAATTAAGTAAACGTATCTACAGCAATTTTCAAAAAAAAAATATTCATTAAGTAATTTAAAGTAAAAAGGGGTAGAGTTGCTGTTTTTTAAAAAAAAAATTGAAAGTTTATATCACAGGAAGAAATTCTTTAGATATTGAGTAAGTTCAAAAGAATTCAAGAATTTGAAAATTTTGTCTATGAGTWRGCATTGTATTTAATACTCCAAAAATCAGAATTTGAATAAATTCATAAATTAAGGGAAAAATCAGCGTTAGCACATGTGCTTGGGGAATCATCTAATGTGCATTACCTATTTCATAACTTAAGACGTATTATAGATTCATGTGTTATTTTTTTTTTGTTCGTCGAATTTAAATACGGGACACGTGCAACGATTCTGAGGTTTAAGGAAAAACGAGTTATTGTCCTCCACTAAATTATCTTGTACAATACGCGCTTAGTCTCTTGAAGATGATGATGCCTGCATTATATTATATGTATACACGGGAACGATAATAAATTATACTTACCTACTATAATAATATATATATATATATATATATAGTATATACTGACCAACAGCAAAATATGTTTGCTCGCACCCCAGCTTGCATATAATGTGTGTTCAAATAGAACTATTGTTCAACAGCGTAAGTATTGTAAAATTACCACAGCAGAGCGTCGTAGGAGAATTATCATACTAGATAAATTATGTTCCGTGCCAAGTTCTTATTATATTATTTTATTCCAACGCCGCCGTATATTCGAACGTATTTCTCAGCGGGACCGATAGATTTATCGACTAGGACAAGTACACGAGCGTATCTTATTCGATACCTATATATATATATATAATATTATTATATGTGCGCGATACAAGATAATATGTTTATTCYTAATCAAACAAAATTATATTATATTAACTCTCTTACAGGTAGGTACCTACCTGTTGAAGCAGCGAACACAAAGTAAAGCAAACACAATAAATAAAACCACAACGTTTATCGTTTATGTAATTATATTATACACTGATAATGATGAAAGATAATATCGTAATATGTGCGCGATGTATAGCATATAATATGTGTATAATGTATATGCATATATTGGCATTAGAGTATAGGTAATGTGTAGTATATTATTATTATATATTATAATATTGTTTTACATATTATACTTATGTATAACGCTCGTTATTACAAAATATATAACAATATAATATTATTCATTCGTATATTTTCCAACGGCTTTGGCGACAAATTATTATTTCCATATTATCTGAATCGATAAACAATAAGACTGTTATTGTTAATGTACATAATATATTATATATGCAATATGCTTTATATTCGCTTTGTACACTCATTACACGCGGCTTCTTCTCACAATATTCCAAGTTGAGCTTATTGTCATTATGTTGTATAAGGTAAACGTACTAAAGAACTATGTAAGCATCTGATTTCGATTAAAATATGTAACCAAATAGTCATCGAACACGTTTCGTCAATCGAGACGTTCATTTAAAACGATTTAATAATCTGTAATTATAGCTAAAGCTAATAGGTGAAACAGTCATGGTAGATGATGCATAATTCAAATTACAATATTTTTTTGCTGATTATATATATATATATATATATATATTATACGAAATAATTGTTTTTCGCCAAGTTGACGTCACTTAGTTGTTTCCGTCACTATATCCATTTGAGTGTGTGGGTGTCTAGTTTGAGAAATGCCTACAAAATATTATATTATTATTATTATACATCCGAAAACACAACGCAGTTATAGCGTTATAATTATTTCACAATACTGAGCGGAAAACCTTGCATAACGCCGCAGCAGAAGTAGTAGACCAGATGGTCTGGGCATATTTTATATACATAGTTGGACGCGGGACGCCTAATTACACCGATTCGCGTTAGTAATATTTTTAATAACGACGTCTGCAGTATCGCTCATCGTACCACGGTGCGGAAAATCGGAAAGAACCGACATAACTTGGCCAAACAATTTTAAAGTATAATATAATATACGATATCGGTTACGACTTATGCTGCAGCGCACGATTATAATACATAATAATATGTACGTATACGCAATAGAGGCGAAAAATTATTATAACAACTAATTAAAACGAACGTTATGGTCTTGTGTCGGCGTATATATAAACACAAACACACGAACATAATATAATTGCATTCGCATGCCTCACGCCATGATGGTGATGGGTGTACACTGTATACATATTGTCATGCGTCAATAGTTTCGAATAATAAATAATGCTTATTTATATTTTCAGCAGTTAAGTTCATATAGACATATAATCAGTGGCGGCTCGTGAGGTTCACCTAAGGTGGCATTTTTAGTATTATAGTAGTTATTAGTTGACTTGAGCACACTGGCGCAAAGCGAAATGGATAATGTACAGTGTTATCGTTTCGACGAATGACGYGACATCGCGACATGATAAAAATAAGATCGGCGCACACATTAAATATGCTTCAAAMTTTTTTTTACCATATATGACTATCCGACGTTTCAAGACCTAAAATTTACACGGCCGTCCGGAGCACAAACAATTTTTTYGGTTGGTTCACGTGCTCCTGTGCACCATATAWCACGAGCCGCCATTGCATATATAGAACCTTTAATGTATAGGTAATATTATGTTTTAATACATCTAGCTGCAGTTCACGCCATTTAACCATTGCTTCCATTATACTCATCGCAGTTGAGCAAAATGTTATGTGTCTATCTACTCGTATTTTAAACCAATCGATATACATAATATATATTGTAGTATTGTGCATAATATTTCTAGGTATAGAATATTTTTTTTAGAGTATTTCGATACATAAAAATCAAATTTTSAACGAGTATTTTATAGTTGATCATAGCTATAACTCRCACTTCTGAGTATTTCATGYAAGTAGATATATCCAGATGATTGGAGATGGATGATCGGACGAACGGTATTTTGAGGGGTAGCCTTGTGCCACTTTACTGCACTCATAAAAACTACTGAATACTTTAACTATATTATAATATGTTAACTACTCGTTCGAAATATGATATTTATATTTTCTGTATCGCATTTATATAAAACGGAGACATAATGGCATCRTGCGAGTAATATGTGTAATTATCTTAAGCTAAAATACATTACATATTGATTAAATTGAATTCAATTGATCGGAAACAAAAATAAAACTTTTTAAATTTGGAGGAAAGGGATACGTGCCTGGAAAACTTTGCCTATATAATATAATATAGAATTGTAATAAGTCTGGATGCGTATATCTTACGTCTAATTATAAAAATATAAGTTTACCTGTATACGAGAGATATGCATACATAATATTTTATATATACATATACAATATATAACATATAATATATCCTATAGTGTTCTGCTGCACGAGTGCAGTGTACGAGACGTCCACGGGTGATTAATAGAAAGAAAAAAATGAAATAAAAAGATTTGAAATATAATACGCGCGGTATATACCCTCATCATTGCTAGATTGCCGAAATACCGTGTCGTATTTACGACCATGTGTCTCGGTTTTCCTGCTGTTGCCATAAACATATCCGGAGCCCATTAAGACACAGCCCACGCTTGCCACGATCCGGTCGTCGTAGTCGTCATCAGGTGTGTGTGTGTGTGGTGTGTATACATAGATATTGGAGACCTATGCGTTGCCAAAAACCATTTCTGTGTTTTTCTATTTTAACACGTATATATCTACCTTTATATATATATATTATTGTATATACGTTCGGTTTCAGTTTATATCGTCTGCACATAGACCTATAAAAACTGAACGTAACTAAACCAGTAYATAAACTTGTATATACGTGGTCTATTATAGTATATACACCTCGAGAGTGGTTATTATTGTGTGTGTATGTGAGTTCATAATATGTATATATTATAGGTATACTGTGTTACATATACTCGCATTTAATAGCATACAATATGTATATAATTTGTATATTGTAAGTAAATAATATAAACCTATAATAAACGAATGACGACGTTTAGTCTGACCATTTGCTCAATGAGTTATTTTTTTATATTATATTATTGTAATATTCAACGCGGAGACTTTAACGCCAGTATTACACTGCTCAAGCGTATTATAATATATCGTTTATTTTGTAAACGGATTGGAATATCATATGGTTAATGGCCAATAACAATCTAAAAAGTTTTATTATTAAATAGATGATTTTTATCTTGATATTAATACTAWATACATATATATACTTGTGTCTTATAATACTCATCATTAAAGGTATAATACTCGTACCTATATAGTTTGTATTCTATAGTATTATGACAGTTATGTATCGCTTTATTAAACACTTACTATTACATAAAACTAAATATAGCTCTGGGTATAATAATAAATAAGTAACGAATTTAATAACATTATGTTTCTAAAAATGTATTATTGTTTATTGCTATACGAGTATTATATACGACACATCATACGTGTATACCTACTTAAAGAGTTAAAATGTARGATCATCATTATCTGCCAACTGATTTCACAACTTTTACAATTATATATTTGATATTATTGGAATGGTATTCTGTAACTATTAACATACAATTATTTAAAATACTTGTTTATACCGACGCGTATTATATAYCTATGCATTTTTTTTAAATAATAATAATAATTTCTCTTTTTTAGACACCCGACTTCGATTCGATGCTTCAAGGACTGATGGTAGAAGACCAGCACGTCATCAAGTCCAGAAATGAGCCGGTCTTGTGCGACTTCTTCGAGACAGCCGGCATAGGTGCGCGAACCGTACAGGACTCGATCCTTCAGAATGGTCATCATCCTGATGAATCTCAAGAGCCTCCGTGGTTCGAGATGAACGAAGTGGTGGACCCGCAAATGTTCTCCACACTCGACGACCAATCGCTGCAGGTTACCCACGTCAAAGTGGAAGCACCGGAAGCCAACAGTCCCGAATACCAGTCGGTGGCCAGCCCAGGGCTGTACACACCGTCTTATCTGCATGTTCACTATCACCACCACGACCACCATCACCAACAGCATCACCACCACCACGGTTACTTCCCACGTGTGGCACCTATGACGCCTCCCATCTCCGAACCAGGTTCTCCCGGTAAACGGCGGACGCCACCGCCACCGTATCCCACACCCCGTTGTAACGCCATCCAAAGATCGATGAAGTTCAACAGACGAAACAACCCGGATTTGGAAAGGAGACGGACTCATCATTGTAATTTTGGCGGTAAGTAACGGCTGAGTTTTTGTNATAATACAATTAAGAGTGAAATATAAATATAATAAAAAATAAATCATTACAGATGAAAATTTAAAAAAATACGATTATTTTAAGTGTATATAGAATTTATTTAAGAAAAAATGTTTATACGATAAAACACATATTATACAAGGTAGTAGTTTTAGTTATAATTTAAGTGTCACAATTTTTTACTTTTTTTAATGGTATTTATTTTTATTTTTTGGAGAGATAAAGTCATTCAATTTCAAAGAAATTATTAGTTTTAGATTTTACCAATTTATAGTTTATATAACAACTTCAGCCTACCGCAGTCACCGCCAACTTGAATATAGGTATTTTRAAACACGAAAATATACAAAAAATCATTTTTTAAATCAACAATCTTATTCTAAACATATAGGACTTCAAATGAGAATACATATACGGTCATACATTATAAGTTATAGTAAATAGAGCTGTGTATGACATAAATTCAGAGGGATAATAATAACGATAGGTAAATAACTCATAAATGAACGCTAAAAAATCGCAGCAAATGAAAACACTCCTAAAATTTCCCTCTGCCTGGTTACGACATCGATGCCTATAAATATAATCGTATTCCAAAACGTAATCGCTACTTAAAACTTACAGGGTCGACGGCGGTCTTATAGCAAAAGTTTATTATGATCGATTGTATTGATTTTATTGTTTTGGTTTTAGGTTGCAACAAAGGATACACTAAAAGCTCTCACCTAAAAGCCCACCAAAGAATACACACAGGTAATTCTATATTTTTATCGTATATCTGCTGTACCTATTTATACTTAAGTCTAAATGTAATCCGTGGAATATTGTCAGAATACCTGCCATTATACCCGTAATAATACCCATAATATAATAAATAATAAATCGAAACACCGAAAATACAACACGCCCATTAGGGTTATCGGACGGCATCAAACAGCATTCCAAAATCCATTACTATACATCTTTATATATATATATATATATATATATATGTATACTGATATACGAATATATAAATAAACACGGTCTGTATATGTTACACTGTACCTATATACGGAATGTATGGCAATAAATGAGATTTATGTCTCGGTGTTTTTATGAATGAACGTTATTATTGTATAACGTGATGCCACCTCCCGAGTATAAAAGGGTACCTATATCACTTCGCAGGCGCCGCTATTGTAACAGGGAGACAATCGAAATAACCTTTAGTCACATGTACAAAAGCCTTTTTTGCTTTCGAACAACACAACACATCATCGCGGTTGATCGCCAAACCGTGTAATCGAATCGGACTTCTCAGGGACGACGCCAACGCGTGGCACCACCATGTATTGTGGCCCAGACAGTCTGCATGCTGCTGGCACTATCGTTTCCCTTAGTAATAATGGTCTGATGTCCCGTGCAGTATAATATTTGTATTATGTAGTGAAATTCCACTACGGTTAGTAGATATTTAGGGGTATAGGTTAATATTAGAGTTTACTCGTAAACACCGGTGACAACATTTTAAGAGAACAATATATTTCCGAGATAACATCACATATTTCTATAAAATATTTTCCAACGAAAAATTACAATTTATCGGTACGAGGTTTACGATAATAATGTGAAAAAARCTTAACACCCTGCCCTGACATGAAATTTATTTCAAAAATATTCTTCTCTTCTTAGGAAGCTTTAAATTTGATTTGTCCTACATATTATATAGAAACAAAAATATTAAAAGTGGAATATTCCGATGTTGATTATCAGATTACACGTGCGAGTAATTTCGTCTTCTTTGATATTAATTTTTTTCTACATTTATTTTGACAAACATTGTGATCTTCTATTTCATATTTGATACGGTTAGAATTAATATCGTATAGAAGTTGTGTGTGTGTGTTAACATGATTTTGGGCTAACACTTTTGTATTGGACCGATTTTTCGTCAGGTTTTCGTTGTAATGGTAACTATTATAAATAGGGCTAGGATTTATATGCAATAAAAAATTTTAAAATATGCATTTTATTTATCAAAATATGCAAAAACAAATTTTTATTATAATTTATAATTCATAATGTTTTATTACTTATTATTAGCTCATATTATTACATTAAATATTAGTTTAATTATACTAACTTGGCACTTTCACTTTGAACTTTTGGCATACTGGACACTGTTATTAAAACCATTCAAATTATTAAGTATAAACGTCTGCACATTTACACAACACACGACGTACCAATACAATTTTTCTGTGCTATCTCACCGTATAACAATGTGTAAGTAGTCACATTAAGTAATTCTACCAGTCGTCCGACCAACGATGAGGTAACGAACGGATATTATCTGACCTAAGATAAAATAGATAGTATTAATGCTATATATTTACGAAAATTAAACGGATAAACCAAAAACTATCGGTTTCGTGAAGTACCATTTCAAATTAACAATAACTTATAAAAATTAACAATAACTTATAAAAATTAAAAATTTTAGTAAAAATTTTCAAATTCTAAAAAAATCTATGAATATGCAATTATATGCATTATGTCTAAAATATGCAAAAAAAAAAAATTGGTCCTATTTAAACGAAAATAAGCCAAATCGTGGACAAATCTGACAACCAATCAATTTGGACTAAAGGAAAAAAACATGCAAATGCATATAAAATGCATATAGCCCTAATTATAAACAAAAACATATTATTTTATGATTCATATTTTTATATGTAGAGGTAAAATATCAAGTAGGTATAGTGTGCTCTTTTCGTCACCCCACGACGGGTCTCAATTAGGAACTCTGAACCTAGTTTGGTTTTTCTGCATATAGGTTTTATATTTTTCCTTCTTCGCGAATAATCCCGTGATCGGCCTCGAAAGTGTTATTTTTTTTCGACACCTCGTTAGTGCGGTCCCTGGACACGTATAGCATATTATAATATATATAATACTACGATAGTATTATAATATATAATGACTACCGCGTGCGCGGAGGCCGTCGTTATTTAATTGGAGGTTTCGGACACGTCGAAGTTAAACAAATCGCCTTCCGGCGCATGTCGAAGCGACCGGGAAGGCTGTGTGCACATTTTTTTTTCAATACCACTAAATTAAACCCTAACACGATGTTCGTAGTGTAATTACATTTTTCCAACCGCCGTCCGGTGCGCAGACATTTTGGTTATTTCGTTTATCCACCGCTGCTGATGATGCTCGCACGTATATATACCTATATTATATATAAATGATCGTATAAGTACAGTATATATACTATTAATCTATTATATACTTAAACCTACACCACATCATTATATTCGTGATTTGGTTTTTGATCGATGCGAAAAGTATACTCAATATATACCGGAAAATCATAGACGAGTTCCTAGACCGGTGAAGTGATTGGGTGTGCCAAATATTTCGTCCTGTATTAACATAATATGTTATTTTAATGTTTTATCTTGCGCGGCATAAGTGCATTGCAAATTCTTTATAACCGCGTGGTACATATAATATTAATTCGTATAACCTAACCTAACCTATATACTTATATAAATTTATCGATTCGGGCAGATAATATAATTGCGCGCGTAAATTTTGAGATGCGAAAAACCGTACGTTTTATGTTATATTTTTATAATCAACAACATATTATTATGTTATTCGTGTTTATTATTATTGCTGCAGTTGTTATTTATTCGTGTCATAATATGTTGTATTAAAAGTATCGACGGTCTCGAAACGTTTTATCATCCGAAACGTCGTAAAACGATTTTTATAGTTTAATATAGGTGTCTCTATATATTAAATATGTATAGTTTATTAATAGTTGTTAATTTAAGTATATAAGTAAAAAAAAGTCATTTCACCGTTACGATAAATTCCGCGATCGGACAGACATTCGTTCATATATAATATTATATAGATAAGTACACTGATGATCGTATCTCGCGTGTCGACGGGTTTTATTCCATTTCACGATATTATTTGACCCGACCGATTTCGGTCCGCGGCCGCTCTACTTAATAATAATAAAAATACGTGTATCAATAGTCACCGATCTTCGTGTAACATTTAACGCAAGCGCATTATACCATAGTATATTTTTTTAATTTTTTTTTTWAATTTTTTTTATTATCCCGCGGCAACTAAGGTCATTGGGAAGGGGGTAGWACTGTAGGTTCTTATGGAACTGTAGGTTGGTTTTACACGTGGGTCAGAGTTTTGGCAGAATTTCTATTGGGGCACCCGTAGGTTTCTGCCATGCTCCGGAGTGGGGGATGGCGGCACTTGTTCTCCGTACACCGTGACTTGCCCGGAGAAAAATGCCGCTCGACGGTCGAGGATCGAACCCGGTCCGGCTGAGCCACAGCCGACGCGGTAGACCACTCGGCCACCTCGATCCCCCAGTATATTTTTTGTACTACGGAAAAAATATATATCGTCTGAGGTGGCGGAAATCAGTTCGGCGGCGGCGCGGGCAGATGAGTCAGACCGTGGAGAAAGTCGCGCGAAATAAATACTAATTATCTAGGTATGTGTGATATAAATTTACGACGACGACGACGACACAATGATAATATATACTATTATAACTTATAACATTATATAGTCTCGACGCACGACAATTATCATTATATTGCCCGAAAATCATCATTTTAATATATATATATTATATACACGCCAACGCGCGGACGCAGCCGCGACGTGCCGACATTCGACGATCGTATACGATATTATGATAATTATCACGCCGATGCAGCACACAATCGGATCGCGCCGATTATTATAGACACGGGCGAACGTTATGGATATTGTTATGCAGATATATTATAAATTTTTTATTCGTACGTACCTACACAATATACCGACATCGATGACTCGGAGTAATAACGCGTCTAATTTGTGCGCTGTGCGCGTTTCTCTTCTCGTCCGCACTCTTCCGCGTGTCAGCCACGCAGCGACATAGCGCCTCGGGTCGGCTCAGGTCGCGCACGCATGTGTGTGTGTGTGTGTGGTTTGCATTTGTATGTATAAGTATGTCGTGTAAAGTATATAATAATAATAATGCGTAGTATATAGACGTCGTATTCGTCGTAGACTGCCGGTCGGTGTCGGCGGAGAGCCAGAGCCGTCGGATAGAGGTCCTCGACCCTTGGACGAGACAAAACGGTCGCCGCGTATTCACGAGACATAACGGCCGCCGTGTACATCATACACGAGACGAACACAACAACAACAACAACAATAATAATAATGAAAATAATAATGTTATAATACCGACGCACGCGCGCGCGGACAATATTGTATGTACGTCGCATCGATATTATATAATATTTGTATATATATATAGTTATTATTCACCGTGTTTAACGCGTGTTATTTGCGTATCGCGGGTCACGAGACGAACAAAAAACTTATTAAAACCACCCGAGGCTGCGACAATTTTTACCGGTATAGGTACACTGCAGTGAGTAATAATTTTTATAATGCGGACGGAGACAATATACTATAATATYATCATAATGTAGGTTCACGAAAACAATAATAAACACACACGCTGCACTGTATCAGGAGCCACGTCGGCGTACGCGTGTGCACGATATTAATCGCGTCGTATATATAGGCATAGGTAATAATATTATTGTTATAATATAATGATATGCGTGTATTTATTATTATATTGTAGCGTAGATCGGAAGCCGAGAATTTTGGCATTGTGCATCGACGGTGCCCCCACCCCTCTCCGTCATATATACGCATATAAT